AACACATGGGCAAACTAACACTTTCTGAAGCATGAAGGTCTGGGTTAACTTTAGGGGATTTATCGTGCTTTGGCTTCAGTCCCCTGCTAGGTAGATAGTCAGTGTCCCCCAGGACATAGTATGGGCCCAGTCCTTCTACATAAGGTTTAGGAAGAAGCTGAATTAAGTAATAGCTGCATTATTGGAAGTCCCACAATGGCCCCTACTCTCTGAGGTAGAACAGTAATTGTGGAATCAGGAGGAAGATCTTTCTGTGCTGGATCCAGAGTAGTTAACATCTGCGAGAGATTCTGACTTTGCCCGGGGGACCTTTCTGCCTGTGAGTAGCGTCCTTCCCTGGATATTCTCTCTCCGTCATCAAGGACACCTCATTGCTACTCAAAATCAATAGAGAAACCCCCTTATTCGGAGAAGGCTCTCCCTGACTTTATATATAACAATTATTTGGGGATGGTATCTTTGTGTTTTCTCCCAGAGCAGTCAGCTTTTCCTTGCTTCTGGGTTATCTTGAACACCAAATTAGCTTCTTCACCCTTAGCTACCAGGAGTCACTGATGAAAGAGAAATCTGTTGTTATTCCAGAGACAAAATTTCTCTCCCTAGGTCCTTTAAACTTATCAGGAGGCAAAGAAACTCCAGCACATTAAACATGGGTTTTACAGAGATTATTCAAAGTCTTTCTAAATGCACTATTGCCCTCCACAAATTTTCATTTGTGAGCATAGATGAATCCCTTCACTTCCTGATTAGCCCAGTGCTTGGAAAATTTAGAAGTCAATATATGTGCCAGGAAATGGGAAAAGAAAATGGGAAAACATTGGTCTAAATAATTCTGGTTAAAAAATAGTAGTTATTTGGACTGAATAGATCTTTTTTTTTCTTACTTTATTGCAGTCTATGCTTTCCAAATTTTTATTTTTACAGTGAGACTATATTACTTCTATAGTTAGAAAAAACTGAAGTGCCAAAACTGGGAAAAGGCACTCGTGGCTCCTGACAGAGTGACTGGGAACGGCAGACACAGATAAATGGCTCTGCTCTGGAATTTGCCTCTTACAAATGTCTGGCCAGAATCTGCCCACAGATCTGTGTAGGATGTACTAGCTGCTCACTAGGTGCGAACAATAGCAATTCAGGTCAGTTCAACAAGCATCTATTGAGTGCCCATTGTGTGTCTGGCACTATACTAGGCATTTGCTACAAAGGCAAAAAGATAGACAGCCCTTGCCCTACTGAGAAAGGGATAATCTCATCATGGTATGGTGTGTTCTCCATGAAAGTCATCTCGGGAGTCCTGTGGGAGCACCAAACAAACCTCAGGGTCAGGGAGCATTTGGGAAGGGATGACACCTCAATTTTCTTTAGATTAAAAAAAAATTTAACATTTAAACTATTTTCTTATTATAAGGAAGAAAATGATTACAGATAACTACTAACAGTTAAGAGTTTGTATTTTCAGATATTTTGACTTCTTTCCAACATGGTATTCATATATCAACATGCATAAACATGATATTATTATGCAAATTTTCTTTTTTTTTTAAAATAAAAAATAGGAATTTGCATTAGCCTTGAAGAATGAGTAGGTATAGATTAGGTGAAGAAGAGGTGAAAGGGTGTTTCAAGTAGAGGGAACAGCATGAGTAAAGTTAGTGAGGCAAGCATTTTCATAAAACCAGGACATATGTAAGAAGGCAGGAAGTCTCAGGAGAGGAGGCTGGAAAATGACCAGGGACTTGGTCCTAGGTGGCTTTGTCTATCAGGCTAAGACACTTGGGCTGCTGGGGAGGGTAATGAGCGAAGAGACATAATCAGGTTTTCTTGTATGAATATCACATTGGCAGCAGGGTGAGTGGGGAGTTTGAGAGTTAAGACTGGAGGCAGTGGGGGAGGGTATAGCTGAAGGGTAGAGTGTGTGCCTAGCACGCACAAGGTCCTGGGTTTTTACCTCCATTAAAAATAAATGAATAAACCTAATTACCTCCCCCTAAAAAATAATAAATTTATGTAAAAATAAAAGGCTGGAGGCAAAGAATTTGTGACAAACATGGATAGACTTTGAGGGCATTATGCTAAGTGGAGTAAATCAGACAGAGAAAGTAAATACTGTAGGATCTCACTTATATGTGGAATCAAAAAACAAACAACCCAAAGCACAAAACCAAGTTCATAGATACAGAGAACAGATTGGTTGTCAGAGATGGGCATGGAGTGTGGAGGGGTGGTGTGGGGGTTGGTGAAATGGGTGAGGGGGTCAAAATTTCCAGTTATAAAATAAATAAGTCATGAGGATATAATGTATAACATGGTGACTGCAGTTAAAAATACTGTATTGCACATTTGAAGGTTGCTAAAAGAGTAAAGCTGAAACATTCTCATCACAAGAAAATAATTTCCTAACAATGTATGGTGACAGATATAAAGTAGATTTACTGTGGTGGATCAAGTTACAATATGCAGCTGACCCTCGAGCTATATGGGTTTGAACTGCATGGGTCCACTTATAATCAGATTTTTTTCAATAGTAAATACCACAGTACTACATGACCATAGTTGGCTGAATCCATGTATGTGGAATTGTTGGAATATAGAGGGCTGACTGTAAAGTTATACACTGATTTTCGACTGCCAGGGTACATCACCTGTAACTCCTGAGTCATTCAAGAATCCACTGGATACAAATATTGAATCATTATATTGTATACCTAAAAGTAATATAATGTTATATGTCAAGTATACCTCAACTTGAAAATTTTACCTCTATTCAACAAGTATATTTCAGCATCTACTAAGTACCAGACACTTAAAAAAAAAGACTGAAGGCAAATACATATTTTTCACACTTAAAGACATAGTCGGTTTCACCTCCCTAATTAACCCAAAAGGAATTTAGCCCTTCAGTAAAAGTAGTTTAATGATTTGATTATACCAAACTCCAGGGGACTAAACATCCCTACTTGTCCTGTGCTTTCATCTGATGGGCTCCTTCATCATCATCATAGTAATATAATAAAAATAATAATAATAATAATAATAAACATAACTAATATTTATTGAGCATTTATGGCACTGTGATGAGTACATTGGATATGTTTTCTCAAGTAATAAGTATATATTATTCTGCCCCATTTACAGATGATGAAACAGGCTAAGGAAGGCCAGACTAGCAAGAGGCAGATCTGGGAGTCCATGCCCTGTCTCTGCTGCCCACATGATTTGCAAACTTTTATTTGACTACAGTTAGTCACGGTTATCAGAAATTTACATTGAAAATCTTTAAAATGGCCACATTTCTGAATAGTTTTACCTGCTAAGAATTGGTCAGTTTTTCTAGGATGTCATATAAATATACTAAGACCCTCAAAAAAGTTGCTAAAATCCAGAATAATGCCTAATGTTAAAAGTTGCAGTAATTTTCAGAGAGATTAGTATCTAAATGCAACAGTCATCTAGTCAGGAGAGTGCATGTCAACCATTTGCCATGTATCATCAATTAGCATATTAGCCTCGTGGAACTTAGTAAATACCTTTCTATCATTTTTACTTCCTCGGGGTATACAGCTACTGCTATTCCATTGCTTCCAGAGAGGGACAGTATCTGAAACTGGGGAGACCCAGCCAAGGAGCCCCAAGTTTGGTCACTGTGCTCCTGGAACATAGTTTTCCAGTGCTGCCAAGTGAGACTGAAGGACCAGCACATTTGATTCAAGCTTATTTAAAAAAAATTTTTAAATAGAGTTACTGGGGATTGAACCAGGACCTTGTGCATGCTAAGTACACATTCTACCACTGAGCTATAACCCTACTGGCCAGATTCAGGCTTATTAAACAGACAAAACCAATGTGAAGGGACTGGCTTTTTGTAAGTGCCCTGTAAATGCTATTTTCACCTTCCCTTATCAATGAATAGCTATTTAGTAGTATCTAGCCAGCATTTATTGTTATATTAGAAAATAATAAAGTCTATATTTGCAACTCTGAGTAGAGTTGAAAAGACCGTTGTGGGGCAGTAATGCTTTCCAAGGTGTTTACATAGAAATCGGACCCATCGTGTGAGGCAGTGCACCTGGAACTGTTTGGAGTTTGGCTTCAGACTCAAATCTGCCAAAAGCCTTTTCTTCTGAAAAAGCTCTCCTAATTGGGATTGCTGCAGGCCATTTATTTACCTGCCATAGTTTTGTTTCCTAGCAGTCCTCAGATAAATCATTGGAAATTGTGGTTTGGAGCATCATTTAAGTGCCCCGCTCCCCCAAACATCTGGCTTAAAAAACACCCCTGGTCAGCTTACCATCATCAGTATCTGTTTAACACCCATTCTGTACCTGTACTTTCCCTTCTAAGATGGGGAGAGGCATAGCTCAATGAAACTATCATGAGAATCATTTCAAATTTCATCTCAGCACATTGGTTTGTTGGTAGTGATGACGTGGAACAGACACCCTCAGACATTGCTGATGGTCGTATTTGTTAGCACGACTTTTTTGGGAAGCAATTTGCAATATGTATCGAAGAGTCATTAGCATATTCATACTCTGAGCCTGAAATTCAACTTGTACTAAAGAAACTAAATAAAAATTTTAAATATGGGAAGTACATTACAATGGTATATGTTGTAGATTTATGAAGACCTGTGAAAATTAAAAACAAATAGAAGTATAATTAATATATTTTAGTGATCTCTTGAATGAAATATTGTCCTTTCGTTCTTTTAAAACGTTTATTAGCAATACTTTGTAAAAAATGTAATGTTGGTTGGAGAATGGGTATAAAATTGTGTATTTATTTTGGTAATATGCTGAGAAAATTATATACTTGTATATACCTATACATCAGGATGGAGGTATTATAGGTGCTGTTTTTCTTCCTAATTTTCCAGCATTTTAATAATATGATTATGTTATTTTTATAGTGGAAAGATTTTTAATAAAAAAAACTCTTATAAGTATAATTAGAACCATATGACATTATGATGAGAATTTTTAGAACTAAAAACACCAGGACACATGGCCTGACTTATGGTATGGCAACAAGACATAGGATTTGAAATCGGGAATTATTCCCCCAGACCCAGGACACATACTTACATGTAAACCGGCAATGATGACTGTAAGCCAAAAGTGAATTGGGTGACAGGGCTTTATTGGAGGGAACTCCTCTAGGCATTATGTCATCAGGTGAGTCAAGGCCACCCATGGTGCCTTAGTCCCAAGGTAGTGCAAGATGTCAGGGGACAAATAAAACTGATACCCGCCACAGCTAAAACAATGAATCTTTGGGGCAATTGTCTCATCCCAGAAACTTGTCTGTTGGTGGTGTCATCATTCTTCACAAAGGCAAGTTCTAACTGACATAAACACAGGTGCGGAAACATTACGATGTCTTATGCTGCTTTTTCCCTCTCCCCACCACGAATTCGCCTTGCTTGTCCTGGGAGAAGAGCCTTCCTCATAGCGCCAGCATCCAGGCTGGTGCCTGGACCACCAGATGCTCACTGCCATTGTTGTTTTCTGGCTTCTGTCTCTCTTTTTTCCTTTTCTTTCACTTTCTTTCATTCTTTCTCTTTCTCTGCTATTACATAGATTCCAAATTGAGTTTTAATAAAAAGGTATTGTTGCATGTCCTGAAGATTCATTTGGTCATTTGTTCATTTATTAAAGGATTAATTTAAACAGGCAAAATTTATTACATACTGGAAATTAAAGAGTACAGAAAAGCGTCTCTCCCCCTGCCCCTCAGTTTATAGGTTAAATCAGAAATTGCTGTGGGAAAGGGGGGGATCTGTATGCTTAGGACCTGATGCTCCCTCTGCATCCGTGTTGATAGGACACAGATGGGGAAGAGGAGGGACTTAGGAGCTGCCTGCAGAGAGTAGGTCTCAAGGGTGTGCCTGACGAGGGCATTTGGAAGGCTGGTGACTCCTAGTGTGCTGAGATTAGCTGGATATTTACAGGGAGACTCAGAAAGGGGAAGGAGAAGAGACTGAGGACAAACATCACACACTAGACAATATTGTTTGTGTCATAAGTGAGGCAACAGTAGGACTGTGGCTTTTTCTTCTTGGATCCACCTCTGGATTTCATCTTTGGGTGGTTCTGCAAATAGAAAAGTAATCATGGCCACCTGCCGAAGAAGCTTTCTAGGAATTTATTGACCAGATTTCTTTGATGCCTGAGATTTGATGCTTACCACAAGTCACTCGGAGCATATTCGTAAATAACAGACGTGAAGACAGCATTCACAGGGGCGGTGGATGCTGCCAATCACTTGTCTTCTTCCAGAGACTTGAAGTAGTGCAGGCCCACTCTTCACCCACTCAGGGCAAATCTTGTTGGCCTGTGCGCTGGTCTGGCCTTGGTGTCTTGTCTTTGAGAGGATTTCTGGAGATTATCAAGGAAGAATGTTCTCCAGCTGAGAAGGTGGGAATGCAAGGCGGATGAGCCCCAAGTTCTTCTCTGTCAATAGAATTCTCCCCTCTGGGCTCTTCCTTTCTCTCTTCATCTCCTTTCCCCTCCTCTCTTCCACTCTCCCCTCTCACTCCCTATTCTGGCCAAATGGATTGGGGAGGAGGGGAATGGCCAGGTCTGGGAAATCCATTCTTATTTATTTCTTTTTCTCTCTCTAGCAAGCCTGAGGTTCCTTCATGGAAGTGCATCGGATGCTGAGGTCAATTTAAAAAACCAGCCCAGTCTGGAAGGGATCAGCTGGGTTCAGTGACCATCCCCAGACCCCTCCCATGTCTGGGAACAGAGCAGGAAGTGGGGGGGAGGGCAGGCCCAGCTGGGTTGGTGGTGCCAAGGGGTTAGGGGTGAGAAAGGTCTTAGCCTTTCCAGAGGTGAATATTCAGAACTCAGCCCCTCTAACTCACTCCAAAAATTTTTAAATGAGTATGTTCATGTATAATTGAAAACTTGTGCTCTACACTGGAAATTGACACAACATTGTAAAATGACTATAGCTCAATAAAAAAAAAAGTAAAAAAAATTTTTTTTAATGAAAAAATTTAATCACAAAACAGTCCTACATTATAAAACATTTGGAAAATAGAGACTGGATCAAGAAAAGAAAAATTTACCCATACGTCCATCACCCTATTACAATCAGCCTTAGCATTCCAAAAACTTTTAGTTATTAATTCAAGTTGGTCAACATGAAGGTACCCACAAATTCTAAACTTAAAAAAAAAAAAGAGACTCCATTTTGAGAATAAAATTAAGAAAAATGGCTGAGATTAGCCCTCAATAGAAATGGCCTAATTCATTACATTGTCTGAGATAAGTTTGCTGAGACATTTTGGCTTTCTCATCTGTAAAATGGTGCTTGAATTCCCTTCCTTTCCGAGTTGTCATGTGATTAAAACAAAATAATTTCCTAAGCACCAGCCCTTCGTGTACAATTGGATGGTCCTCAAGCTTCTCCCATCAGAGATCAGGTTCAAATCCCTTTGTTAGATATCCACCCCCAAATTCACATCCTGAAGTCCTAACTCCCAATACGCTAGTATATAACCTTATTTGGAAATAGGGCTGTTGCAGATGAATTAGTTAAAATGAGGTTATACTGGAGCAAAGTATGTCCCTGATCCAATAGGATTGGTGGCCTTATCAAAGGGGGAAATTTGGAGACAGACACACACAGAAGATGAGGTGAAGAGACACAGGGAAAAGACAGCCATCTACAAGCCAAAGGAGAAAGGCCTGGAATAGATCCTCCCTTCACAGCCCTCAGAAGGACTCAGTCCTGTCCACACCTTGATTTCAGGCTCTGGCTCCAGAAACATGAGACATCTTCTTGTAAGAGATACTTTTACTCATTTGTGATTGGTTCCAGAGAGGAACTTCCTGCAGAAGGTAGGCAGGCCAGCGAGAGCTTGGGGAAATTGATTTCCAGGCTGCCCAGGCCCACCTGACACTAAAGAAGGTTGGTGACACCCAAGTGAGGCCTGGGAGTTTTGGAACATGCTTTCCCTTCATCTCTGGCACAGACAGATTCTGGTTCAGAATAACCTGTATACCTTCTCTCTCTTGACCTGGACGTGACTGCCATGAGACAACTAAGATGGGCATAATACCTTCTTGAAATTTTGCTTTATCAGAACTTCCTCAGGCCAGAGGCAAGCCAGCTGTGAATCACTGAAAATCACTGTGAAGAACTCTACAGAGGTTGACAAAGGATGCCCAATGTGGACAGAGCTCCAAAGAAATGGACTGACCTTTCTTTTCCCAAGGCAGGACATTGGGAGATAAAGATAAGACATCTTACCCCAGAGTCCTTTGGCCTCTTCTGTTGGATAACTTAACATTACTTGGTTTCTACCAAGGGAATTTTCACTGTGAAGAAGAGGGCAGCTGGGTTAAACATAAGAATATAGTTTGGAGGTGGAAGTACAGAGTCAAACATCTAGGGCTGACAATCCAGGAAACTTAAATATGGACAAGATGTTAGAAGATATGGAATTACTGTTAATTTTATTAGGTGCAATAATGGTATGGGAATTATGTAAGAGATTGTATTTATTCTCCACAAGGAGAGGGAGAAGGGGAAAAAGACAGGGAGAGAAGACAGAAAATATGGCAAAGGTGAGTTGTTGAATCTAGATGTAACTTTTCTGTTTGTTTAAATTTTTCATTAAAATGTTAGGTGTGGAGAAGAATAAAGGGTGAAAAAAATCCAGGGGAGAGACACTAGACGAACCAGGACAGAATCCAGAAGAATGACATAATTTTGAAACAGAGGTGGGAGAAGGCTCTGGAAAAAGACGGAGAACTTGGCAGATTGGAGATAGACCTGAGCAGAAAGTGGCCAGAAAAGCATGGGCCGCCGTTTTCACTCTTTACTCAGTTCCTTTGTGGCCAGAGGATGTTCTGATAAAGCACAAGAAACTTGAACAAAACCATCCCAAATTTCTCTTTTGCTTTGACAATGCAACATGAGAATGAAAATGCAAACTTACTTTACGGGAATACTAACTGTACAGGGATACAAAATGTAATGAGTTTTCTAAGATGAAAGGATAGCTTGCCTGCCCACGGCCGATGGACTGGGCTGGGTATCTAACCTCAGGCCAGCAGATCCACCAGCTCTACTGTGAATCGGCTGCAATGACTTTGTTAAAAAAAAAAAGAGTGGCCGTTAGAGAGAAAATTAAGCAGAAGACACTGGGCAGGAGAGATGAGCAGAGCAGGCACAGAGGAGGAGCTGAAGAAACCAGAAGCTCTAGGAGACCAGAGGAGCCTCCCTTCCAGTCCATCCTGTTCCTCGAGGCTCCTTCCGCTGCGTCCTGTTTCCTGCTCTTGACTCTGAGAACCTGCAGCACCGGCTGTTCCCCACAGCACCTCCTGCCCGCTCAGCCTCTTTGGACTTAGCAAACTCACATGGGTACCTGTTTCTTGCGACCCAAATCACCTGGCCGGGAGCAGCATCTCATCCTTACTTGTGGCGCTCCCCAGCTGTCCCTTTCCCGGGTTGCCAGAAGCATGGACCCACCCACATATGTCGTAACCCCGTCTGTACAGATGGAAACTGTATGATTCACGGCTGTGGTTCTAGCTCCCAGTCCAATCCCTGATATATGGTAAACACACAAGGACAGTCTTTGAATGAACTAGATGCATCCCCTCCAACCTCAGCTGGGCTGTTTCTCAGCAACTTTTCACGGGCTCCTGCTCAGGTCTGTCTCCTTCCTTGCAGGGGCTGTTCCAATGACTCCAATTACCCACCCCTGCCACCTCTCCTTGCAGTAATAATAGCTGACACGTACTGAGCGCACATTGTGGGCCAGATGCTGTGCTGAGTGCTTTACATGTGTTAATTCCTTTAATCCTCCTAAAACCTAGGAGGTAAATCCTATTATTAGCATCCCCATTTTACAGATGAGAAAGCTGAGGCATGGAGACTAGGATCCTTCTCCAACATTACAAAACAGTGATAATGAGGATTTGAACTAGGCAGTCTGGTTCCAGAGTCAACGTCCTTAACCCCTTATTAGTTTTGTGATAATAAAACCCAGCGGTGCTCAGCAGCCTCAATAAAGAGTAGGAAAGACACTTTATTCTTCAGAAAAGAACAAGACTCTTTGTTTGTTTGTTTTTGGAAGCATGGTTGTGAAAAGGAGTGATCAGTTTCTAGCTCTAGTGCCCAGCAGAATGCAACCAGTTACTGCCTCCTAGTTCACCAAGAAAATTGAGGGAATAAGATGTGAAGTCCACTGACTCCTGTCTGCAGACATCTCCATTGGACCACCCGCACCCGCCTTCCTCGGGCTCAAAGCTGGTATCCCCTCTCTTTAGCTGATCTGAGTCCCTCTGGTCTGCTCTGGGGGCTGACCTCATCAGATGCATCATCCAGGGTCCTGGCAAAGGAGAGCTGACCACTGAGCACCACTTGGGCTTAACTAAGGGAAGCCTGTTGAAGAGACCATCCCTGGGGGTGTGGGCAGGGTAGGAACAATTATCCTGGGGCCCTGGGAGAGCTGGCACTGTGAGAAGGGGCTGCCTGAGAAAATGGGGGCCTTAAATGAGGTGGAGCAGAGTTGTGTTTGAGAGCACAGAACTTGGAACACAGAGCAGGACAGAGGAGGGAGGGTCTTGGATAAATGGAGAGCCACTCAGACATTTGCTACTCTTGTATTATCAGCCTCTCCCCTTTCTATTGGTTTCTTTCCTCAGCTGTATTAAAGAGAAAGTTCCCTCAACACTATTTTCCCCTCTACTGCCACCTCTCCCCTTCCTTTAATGGACAAGCTCCTCTATGGAAGATTTTATAATACTTGTCTTCATTTTCTTACTACCTGTTAACTCTTTTAAAAACCCCTACTGAGTTTTAGATTCCAAACTTATATTACATTATGCAAAATTTGAACACTACAAAAATATGTAACATAGAAAGATAAGTCCTCATTAATATTAGCCCCCCAACTCCATCCTGCACACACAAACACACACACACACATCAAAAATAACCATCGTCAAAAGTTTGGGTGCACCCAATGTTCATAGCAGCACTATTTACAATAACCAAGACATGGAAGGAACCAAAATGCAACCAAATTTTGGAAGCAACCAGTGTCCATCAACAGATGAATGGATAAAGAAAATGTGGCCCATATATATAATGGAATACTACTCAGCCATAAAAAGGATGAAATAATGCCATTTGCAGCAACATGAATGGACTTAAAGATTATCATACTAAGTGAAGTAAATCAGACAGGGAAAGACAAACATCATATGATATCACTTATATGTGGGATCTTAAAAAATGACACAAATGAATTTATTTACAAAACAGAAAAAGACTCACAGACATAGAAAAAAACTTACAGTTACTGGGGGGAATAGGGGGAGAGAAGGATAAATTGGGAGTTTGAGATTGGCAGATACAAACTACTATGTACAGAATAGATAAACAATAAGGTCCTACTGTATAGCTTAGGGAACTATATTCAATGGCTTGTAGTAACCTGTAATGAAAAAAGGTATGAAAAAGAATATATTATGTATATATATAACTGAATCACTATACCATACACCAGAAACTAATACAACATTGTAAACCACCTGTACTTCAATAAAAAATTTTTTAAAGGTTTGGTGCATATTTGTCTAACTTTTAGAAAATATATGTATATATGTATAATCAGAATGGCTAAAATAAAACCTATGACAACACTAAATGCCAATGAGGATGCAGAGAAACCAGATCTTCAGACATTGCTGGTGGGAATGTAAAATGGTACAGCCACTCTGGGAGAGACAATGGCTGTTTCTTCCATTATTAAATATGCACTTACTATGATTCAGCAATTGCACTCCTGGGCATCTATCTTAGAGAAAATGACTTATGTTTACACAAAATCCTGTGCATTAATGTTTATAATAACTCTATGTGTAATTCCCTCAAACTGGAAACAACCCAAATGTCCAGACAGCTGGAAGGTTCAATAAACTGTGGTACATCCATATCACAGAATACTATTTAGTGATAAAAAAGAAGGAACTATTGATACACATAACAACCTGAATGGATCTCCAGAAAATTCTGCTGAGCGTTGGTGGCATAGTGGTGAGCATAGCTGCCTTCCAGAAAATTCTGCTGAGTGAAAAAAGTCAATTTCAAAAGTTTACATAGTATCTGATTCCATTTATATAACATTTTTAAAATGGCAAAATGATAGATATAGAAAACAGGTTAGCAGTTGCCGAGGGTCAGGTAGATGGTAGGAGGCGGGTATGACTGAAGCCTTAAAGGGATATCACAAGGAATCTGTGTGATGGAGCAGTTCTTTTTTTTTTTTCTTGTAGGGGGAGGTAATTAGGTTTATTCATTTAGTTATTTATTTGAATTAAATTTAATTTTAATGGCGGTACTGGGGATTGTACCCAGGGCCTTGTACATGCTAGGCATGCATTCTACCCTGAGCTATATCTTCCCCCTCAGAACTGTTCATGACTATGCTGTTCATGAAAGTTGCCTGTGTGATAAATTGCATACAGCCAAAAAGAGACACAAATGAGAGTGTGCAAAATTGGTGAAATCTGAATAAGTTTGATAGATTGAATCCATGTCCATGTCCTGGTTGCAATATTGCACTACAGTTATATAAAATTTTACTACTGGGGGAATATGGGTGAAGGATCTCTCTGTATTATTTTTTTCAAATAAGGTTTATTGAGCTATAATTCACATCCTATAACATTCATCCTTTTAACATATACAACTCAGAGGGTTTTAGTACATTCACAGAGTTGTGCAACCAGCACCACTATCTAATTTCAGACCATTTTCATTACCCTCAAAAGAACCCATGTACCTATTGGTAATCACTCCCCATTCCTCCTTCCTCCCTAACCCCTGACAACCACTAATCTACTTTCTATCTCTATAGATTTGCCTATGCTAGATATTTCTTATAAACAGAATCATAAAATATGTGGCCCTTTGAGTCTGGCTTCTTTTACTTAACACGTCCTCAAGGTTCATCCACATTGTAGCATGTATCAGCACTTCATTTCTTTTTATAGTTGAATAATATTTCATTATATGGAACTGCTTCCATGCTTTGCTTATCCATTCATCAGTTGATGGACGTTTGAGTTTTTTTCCACTTTTTGGCCATTATGAATAATGCTGCTATGAACATTCTTATGAGTTTTTGTGTGAACACATGTTTTCAGTTCTTTTCAGTACATAACTAGGAGTGGGGTTGTTAAGTCATATAGTAACTCTACCTTTGACTTTTTGAGGGACTGCCAAGCTGTTTTTTAAAGGGCCTGCTCCGTTTTATATTCTCACCAGCCATTTATGAAGTTCTGATTTTGCCATATCCTCACCAACATTTGTTACTGTCTGTCTTTTATTATGACCATCCTGAGTGTGAAGTGGTATCTCATCATGGTTCTGTATTATCTGACCATTTTTCTTCCCCCATCATTCGTCTCTCCCCAGCCCCCACCTCCTCTCCTTTGGTTCCCACAGTTCCATGTGCACATAGGCAGCTATTGGAGGACTCAGAACACAGTGTGTCACCTGTGCACGCAGAGCTCCCTGACTAGGCTGCCTCTTGGTCACATGCTTGGCCATCCATCACAATGCTCAGCATGCAGCAGTCACTTAAGGAGTGTTTGTTAGATGAATATATGGGCAAAGCTCCCCAGAAAGGAACACCAATCGAGTAGAAAGTTAAGGGGCTTCACCTAATGGCAGGTGGCCTCATGGAGATAGAATGGAAGGTACTTTGTGAGCAGCAGAAAGAGGGACAGGTGTAAAGGAAGAGAGAAGAGAGGAAATGCCTTGGGGCTACCACCTGGGGACTTAGAGCCTTAGAATCTGCTACAGAGTCTTCCTCCTCTGCTGCCCAGGGGTGAAGAAGGAAGTGAAAAAGTAAGGGAAGATACAAAGAACTCAGTCTATCTCTGCTGTTCCTCCTTTGCTAAACTCAGCATCTAAATTCTAAATTTGGAAGCCTTTTATTTACTGAAAAGATGTTCAGGAACAACAGCCTCAAACACTTGGCACTTCTTTTCTCCTCGGGTGGAATGAGAACCCCTTTGAGCAAAGGCTGGACAATGGCTTTGCTATGTCCACGGGAACTTTTCCCTCTGGGAATAATGCCTCTTCCCAATTATATGGGTATTTTGAGTGTGCTCATTTTGGGAAAAGTTCAAGAGCAATTCATATAAATGCATTCTTTTGTAATTGTAAATTTATATTTGGGTAAAAGTTCATCTATAACAGGACTGAAAGAGAAAAAAATTATAGGACCCAAAGACAGAAAAAACCCCCTGGAAGAAAGGTTAACCTTACCTAAGAAAAAGTTGAGTGAAATTCATTTGTTTCTTTCTGCTTATATCTATTTTATAAATGTCTTAGAATGAGCATGTTTTATTTTTGTAAGAGGGAAAAAAAGCAGTACTTTTTTTTTCAACTAAGAGAATTGCTAATCAGTGGACTTGGAGTAATGGTTATAAGGAAAGCAGGGGTCCTGAAGCCATCTTCCCCAGATTAATGGTTTATAGGATAAGGGACTGTATTTGTTTTCCATGCTGCATAACAAAGGACCACAATCTTACAGTGGCTTAAAACAACACCTATCTATTATCTAACACTCTGTAGGTTGGAAGTCTGGGTAGGCACAGTATAGACATGACCC